ACTTCTTTGGCCAAATCCTATAAATCTTCTTATCCTCTTAGAAATTGGACCTCTAGGCTTTAGCTCGTTGGCGCGTACGAATGAACCGCATCCCTTTCTTCCAATTTGTGCACTTCTTCGGCCAAATCTCATAAATTTCTTGGTTCGCTTGCCCTGTATGAACGAACCGCATCCCTTTTAGTTTTTTAGAAATAAAAACTAAAAAATAAAATGCTTAAAGGAATAGAGGAAAACAGAAGACTAAAGCTTTTTCTTATCACGTCATAAAACATACATGACAACTTAGCAATTTTTAAACAAAAACTAAAATAAAGCAAACCGTCACTTAACATGTACATTTTCACTAAAACCGTTTGAGTTTTATTAACATAAATAATAAATTAATTTTGCATTAATTTATAACACACCCCCTTAATGTAAAATTCTAACACCAAGATTTGATCGGAATCTCTCAAATTTTTTGAAAATTGAGAGCTTTTGTGAATCCATCAGCAACTTGATCTTCAGTAGAACAATACTTAATTGCAATAGTTCCTTTTGCCACAAGTTCTCTTACAAAATGATGTCGGACCTCTATGTGCTTCGATCTACCATGAAATACTGGATTCTTTATTATTGATATTGTGGATTTATTATCACAAAATATGTATGTCGCCTTTAATTGAGGTTGTTAAAAGTCTTCTTATATTCTTCTCATCCAAATTGCTTGATATGCTGCTGATGAAGCTGTAATATATTTAGCTTCTAAAGATGACAATGCAGTGCTAACTATCTTCTTTGTGCTCCAAGATACTGCTCCACACCCAAGATTGAATATGAATCCAATTGTATGTGCTCTTCATATCTTTTTTAAAACTTGCCCAATCACTATCAGTAAAATGAACTAAATTAAAGTTAGAAACTGATTTGTACCAAATCTCATAATTTGTTATCTCTCGAATGATGCGAAGAATGCGTTTAGCTTCTCCAAGATGATGTACATAAGGATTATGCATGAACCTTGAAATGAGATTGATAGAGTACATAATATCATGCCTACTATGTGTCAAATACATAAGACCACCCACAATTTCTCTAAATACTTTTTCATTGGCTTTAGTTGTACAATCATTCTGAACTAACTTTTCATTTATAGTCAGGGTGTTGAAAAAGTCCTGTAAGTCAACATATTATACTTCTTTAATTAGTAACTACAATGCATATCTTTTTTGAGATATAAAAATTTCATCATCTACTTGAATAATTTGTAAGCCCAAAAAATAGTGCAACAACCCCAAATCTATCATATCAACCTCAAACTTTTCAATCAACATATTAGAAGATTCATAATAGATAATATCATCAACATAAATACAAACAATAAGCAAATCACCATTTTTAGCCAACACATACAAAGTAGGCTCACTTTCACTTCTATAAAATCCCTTCTTTTGGAAGTATGAATCAAGCCTCCAATATCATGCTCTTGGTGCATGTTTAAGCCCACAAAGTGCATTCTTTAGTTTATAAACTTTCTCCTCTTTGCTTTTAATAATGAACCTTATGGTTGATCAATGTAGATATCATATTCCAAATCACCATTCAAAAATGCAGATTTAACATAAAACTGAAAAACATTCCACTTCATTTATGCAGCTAATGCAAGCAATAGTCTAACAACTTCAAATCTAGCAACTAGAGAAAATGTTTCATAGAAATCACTATCATATTTTTGTGCGTAACATTTGACAACAAGCCTGGCTTTATATTTTTTGATGCTTCCATATGAATTTTACTTCACTTTGTAAATACACTTCACACCAATTGGATCTTTTTCTTGTGGCATATTAAAAAGCTCCCAAGTATTATTCTTCTCAATACTTTGAATCTCCTCTTTCATAGCATTTTCCCATTCTTCTTTTCCACAAGCATCTACATAACATAATGGTTCTGTAAACATAAGAGCAAATGTACAGTCATACAACTCATGCAAAGATCTCATCTTTTTATGATGCCTCTCTTAATATGCTCTTGAATCTACTGATCTTGGACTGAAAGAGATGAATTATATGATAAACTTTCACTAACTTATTGATTGTTAGTGATATCAATTTGATGATTCACCTCAAATTCAATTATTTCTTTTCTTTTATTATGAATTATAGATTCACTCCAATCCACAAATCATCTTCAAAAAAAATAACATTTCTATTGATAATGATCTTCTCAGACTCTGGATTAAATAATCTATATGCCTTTGACTGAATGCTATAACCAATGAATATCAACTTTCTAGATTTTCTATCCAACTTTCTTCTATTGTGGTCATTCTTCAATGCATAGGCAATACTTTTGAATACTTTCAAATGACTAACAATAGGCTGTCAACCATTCCATGCTTCATAAGATGTAATATTTTGAACAACTTTTATTGGAGAAATATTCAAAATATAAGTAGCAGCTGCAACAGCTTTAGCCCAAAAGGTATTTGATAAATTCTTCATGTTCAACATACTTCTTGCCATCTCAACAACAATTCTATTCTTCTTTTTCACAATCCCACTTTGTTGTGGTGTATTAGGAGCAGTTAATTGTCTTGAAATTTCATACTTATCACAAAATTTGTCAAACTTATTTGATGTAAATTCTCCATCTCTACTATACATATAATTTTAATATTCTTGCGACTTTGATTCTCCACAAATGTTTTAAGATGCATAAATTTTTCAAAGGCTTCTGAATTATGCTTCAAAAAATACACCCAATTCATTATACTATAATAATCAACAAATAAAAGAAAATATTTATATCCTCCATGAGATGGTGTATTCATTATGCCATCAATACTTTTTCTTAAACGGTTGAAATATTAAGTAGAAAAATTTTGTTTAGAGCCATTTGAATTCTTGTCACTTGTTGCTTACTTTTTTTATCTTCAATGTTACAAGCCTTTTTATCAAATTCAATTTTATATCCACTATCAATTAATTGTCCAATGCTTAACAAATTATGTGCACGTTTTGAAACATATAAAACATCATGTAATAGATCTACCTTGTCATTATTTGTCCCAACAGTAATGCTTTCCTTGCCTGCAACTTGAACAACATTATTCTCATCAAATTTGAATTTTTTTTTTAACATATCAATCTCTTTAAAAAGAGACTTCATTCCAGTCATGTGATTAAAACAACCACTATCAAGGAAACAAATTTCTGAATTATCACAATCACCTTGAAAATGTGCCATAAACAAATTATTTTGATCTGTTGTCTTCTCTACAACATTGGCTTTTTTTTTTGAACCAACATCTGTCTTCTAAATGTCCAAACTTCTTACAAAAATCACACTGCACTTTGTCTTTTCCTTCTTGATTCCTTTGTTTATTTCAACAATTTGTCTCAATATAACCAAACTTCTTACAATAATAGCATTGCTTTTGACCTCCACTTGATCTTTTATCTCTAAGCTCCTCTTCCACGAAAAGCACCACAACCACCTCTTCCTCTATAAGTACTTCTATTCCTCTACCACGACATCCTTCTTTGTTGCTACTAGTTGAAGTTTTCGTCACCTGAAATGACTTATCAATTGTCTTCACTTCTCGTCTATTTATTCTCTCCTTATGAGCCATCAATGAACTCATCATTTTATCAAAAGAATATACTGCAAGATCTTTGGATTCTTCAATAATAGTCACCACATGTTCAAAATTTGTTGGAAGACTCCTTAGAACTTTGGATATAACCTTCTCATCAGATATTTGCTCTCCAAATGATTGCATTTTGTTCACAATTGTTTATACCCGAGAGAGATAAGTTTGAACGCCTTCTCCTTCATTCATATCCATAGTTTCAAAGTCACGTCTCATAGATTGCAGCTTTATTATTTTTACTCTTATTGAACCTTGAAATTCTTTCTCCAAAATATCCCAAGCTTCTTTTGATGTCTCTGCCATAGAAATTATTGAAAATATACTATCATCTATTGCTTGTTGAATGCTTGTTGAATGAAAAACAAAGCCTACGAATGCTTCTTCTTGTTATCATTATTTCTCCCTTTATCTTCTCCAATTTGTACATCATTTATATATCACAATATCTCACAAATGTTGTGACTTCAACAAGGTCTTCATTTTGATACTCGAAAACTCATACTTGTCACCATTGAAGATAGGAATCAAAGGTTGAGAAGTAGTGCTCGTTGCCATCAAAAATTTATCAAAATACTTGAATGAGAATCACACACATTGTTTTTAGAAGATTACACTAAATATTCTAAAACTTTGCTTCAATCCAGAATTTGACACCCACTTAATCGGAGCTGGGCTCGATACCACAATGTTGGAGTAATTGGAGACACAAAAACTAAAAAATAAAATGCTTAAAGTAATAGAGGAAAACAGAAGACTTAAGCTTTTTCTTATCAAGCCATAAACCATACAGGACAACTTAGCAGTTTTTAAACAAAAACTACAATAAATCAAGCTGTCACTTAACCTCACCTTTTCACTAACACCGTTTGAGTTTTAATTTAAACTAAGGCTTCATTTGGGACAACTTTTTTTCTGCTTCTTAAAACAGTTTTTTAGTACAAAATTAAAAAAATTTGTACTAAAAAGCTGCTTTAAGAAGCAGAAAGAAAGTCGTCCCAAACGAAACCTAATTTTGCATTAATTTATAACAGGGTCAGATCAATTTTTGACACCACTAGTTACAATGATTGATGCAGAGATGTTTCATCAACCAATTAATAAAGTTTAATGGATATAAATTTAAAAAAACAAAAATTTACACGCCAAGTTGTTCACCTTTGTTTTTTTAACCATGAAACCTATTATTTTCGCATCAGAGATCAATAAAAAACAATGCAGCTAACCAAGAACTTATATTTTTCATCTAGTACGCTATAAAACTCTGTTTATAAATGTTTTGTTCAATCAATGGCCAGTACAAGTTCCCCTCAACTGATGTTTCTCTTTCTTTCACCACCAACTTCCAAACCCCAACCTCCTCTCTCCAATGGAGCGCAGCAGCCCGACGCCACCTTCTCAGCTTGGGCTGTGCAACGCCTCTCACACTATCAAGAAACCTCCTCTTCCTCCAAAGTTTCCGCCGCCGCGACACCCGGTCATCATCCACGATAGCGCGCCCAAAATCATCCGCGTCCGTCCTGAGAACTTCAAGGCCGTCGTGCAGCGTCTCACCGGAGCCCCAACCAGAGCCAACTATACCCCGCTCTCGCCTCCGTCCCAAACGACCACGATACAGAAGAAGTCGGGCCCGGGCCCGACCATTGACGCCAGGTCCGGGCCACGAAACAAGCCGGCGGGCATAACGTGGATCTTGCCTCCGGTGTTTCCTGCTTCGCTGCCGCCGATTCCGCAGGCCTACTTCGTTCCTACCTTTCCCGGCTTATTGTACAGACGGTACCCGGTCGAGCCGGTCTATCGGGCTGGTGGAAACTTCTTGGTCAGGCCGGGTAACAACCCATCGTTGCCGGTGGTGCCCTTTTCCGGCGGCGGCAACTTGTTGGTTAGGCCACTTGGCCCAGTTGTTTATTCCAGGGCGGCTGACCGGGATCTCTTGGAGAAGTAGGATGGAAGACGAAAGTAGATCAGCGGCTGGCAAAGGATAAGTGTACTGGTGAAGTTGGCCTGGCAGGCTACGTAAATTCTTTTCATTGAATATCTAAAGCTTTGATCTTTAATTCTTCTCATTCTTTTTCTACTATGGGAGTTCAGAGATTTCTTTAATGTAATGAAAAACACTTGATTGATTTATCAAAATCTTCAATGTTGATTGATGTCTGAATATAGATTCTTTAGCTTCTGCCTTTCGGTTGTGAAATCTTGCTGGGAATATCGTTTAAAGAAATGTGCTTTGTTATCCGTGAAGGCATGGCGGCTATATATTATGCAGGTTGTTTTGTAAGAGATTTTTTTTTTTAGACATTTAGGTCAATTAAGACAGACTTATACACATATCTCATACATAATATTTGAATAAAAAATCTCTTAGTTGGTAGAGTTTAAGCTCTCAGCTAATATACCAAGGTTAGTTTTGTAAACGAGATTTATTGGGCCAACATAAATTACGAGGATTTGAAGTAGTTTGGTTACATTCGCTAAATTCAGAGAAATTATATGACTCGTTATATGTGGATTTGATTAATTTTTTTTTTATTTGATAAAAGATTTTAAATATTTATTTTGAAAGAAATTATTTTAAACCAAGAATAAAATCTTGTATTCAAAGATTATTTATTAAAATCAAAAGTCATATGTAATAATTTGAACTAATTTGAACCTTATTAAAACCCATTTTCTTACCTAATGCAAGGGTTCAAATCTTAATTCAAACTGAGATTATACATTTGCACGACGGAAAGAAATTCAAAGAAGGCAAGAGTGTGGTTTAATGATGGACTTACATCTATGTAGGTCTGACAATGAGCTTATCCCCCACCCCCCTCTCAAAAAAAAATCCTTATCCATATCGCCGAAGATGGCTCTCTCTCTCTCTCTCTCTCTCTCTGTGTGTGAATCGGGCTTTGGCGGACATTAGAAGCTGATTGTTGTGGATGAAGAATCTGGTTGCTAAGGAGGGGTTGGGCTGCAATTCTTGCTGCTGGAAGATAATTCGACACAAATCGGTGGCCTGCAATTCTTCATGGTTGGCAGTTGGCCTTGGAGAAAGATATGCAGCTCAAAGATGGAGCCATGGAGGTTATTAATTGCTAATGCAAAGGAGGAGGATGAGGCGGCTGGTAGAGAAAATGGAAGGTGGCCACCACCCGGATCTTTGTCTAGGATATAGAAAATAAAACAAGAAGAGCTTGCAGGCTCTAATACCAAATGACACTGTACTAGAAGGGGCTCGACAACACCTTGTCGATGATCCTGTGACGGAGACCGAACACAACTCCAATAACTCCTTTTTGGAAGAAAACACCACCTGATCAATGTACTTCATGATACAGAAATATAAACTAAATTAAGCTCAAATTTTATTCAACTCAAAATTTGCTCTATTACAAGTATTGGCTATGTATTTTATAGACAAATGTAGCAACATAATAGGCTACACCCAACATATATAAGGAACATTACATATATATAGCCATACTAACAACCATATGGAATTAAACTAGCCTGAAGTTTAATAGGATTAAGTAGCTCAGCTCCGGCATCAGGCTCATTCTGTGCCTTCTTGTCACATGTCCTTAGTCCCCTTCTATACCTCCTCAACATTGGATTCTTGTTTAAGCATCTTGTAGTTTTGCAATCCCAAATTGAACCTTGATTTTAATGAGGTTAAAATCACATTTGAATCGGTCTTGAAGGGTTTCAACACTACAGGAAAACACGGTATTATTGTCGAACTTTCCGACTGAATTAAATATGCTGGTAAAAGCGGGAAACTAACAAGCAGGTATTTCGCCGGTAACGTAACGGCAGAGTTTTCGGTGAATTCTCAACCGGCCTGTTACTGGTGGATTATCTGCCAGTCTTCCTCACTATTGATAAGACCGGAAGCTTATTCCGGCATATTGTCCGCCGGAAATTACCGGCGAAATATCCAATAGATATTACGCCGGTCTACTTAAACCCAACGGTAACAACAAATTTTCCTATAGTGCAACTTTAATAATTATTATGCTTATATAAGAGTTTATCCTCCTCTGTGATAATTTCTCCCAATATGAATTTCAGGTATATTTCTTCTAGCAAATGTACAACAGGGATATGTTGGCTAATGTGTGCATTATAAGGAATATAATGTCCAATTTTATTGAATTAATTGAACATTCTTTGATTATATATAAACAGTACATGCATTTTTATGAGCTTTCCATGTTGAATTTTAAGAGTTTCAAGCTATAAAACCCTTTCTAATTATATAGAAAAAAAAAACAGGATATCAATGTCTCAATTTTAATTAGAAAGATCATTGAAAAATTGATACGTGTTAATTTTTTTTTATATTTGTTTCAAAAACATATAAATATTTTAATATTTTACTTGTTGCTGGCTAGAATATACGCGGCGATAGAGTTATAATTCTACGTCTTAGCGTTGCACGGATATTCAGCTCACACACAGAGAACACAATATTTTTTACGTGGAAAACCCGGGAAAGGGGAAAAACCACGGGGCCTAGCCCAGTTGAAAATGATTCCACTAGAATTTGAGAAAAATACAATGGTCTGACTCATCCTTGAAGGCGACCAGATTATAAGTATCAACTATGAGTTTTGCAAGAGTCCAACGTCACTCCAATGTCAGGTGGCGATCCGATAGAACTCCGGTGTCAGGCGGAAGACCGGTAGTGGTACTTCAGTGTTAGGGGGTACTTCTTTACCGCCGCAAATACTCCTGGACGCAACATTACTCTTTTGCTATATATTTGACAAAAACTGTCATCATTATGTTTAAATTTCCCTGCAAATCAAAATTAAATGAGCTTATTATATTTAAACATAATAGAAATAACACGTGCCAATTTTTAAACTGAACCTAATTAAAAATTGGGTCATAATATTCTTAAATAATTTTTCTTATTTTATGGCATATTTTTTAATTCTCTAAAGATTCATTTCATTGCTTGCAAACAGAGATTTTGACCATTTTATTAATTAACTACAATCCATAAAAATAGTTAGGGAAGTAAATAAAAAAAGCAGGGGTTATGATTTTAATGAAAAACCTAGAACTAAAAAAATTACATACAGTTGATACAAGTTACAATAGGCTGGCTAGAGTATCAAAACAGGTTGATGGGTCAGATTCAGGTCTGATTTGAAATTGACTCAACCTAAATTTATTTAATGTGAATCCGACCCTTTTAATAAACGGTCAAAAACTCTAATCCGAACCTGACTTTCTAACAACCTAAATGATGATCTGAAACCCACTTGTTAACCCATTTTAATATATAAAAAAATTATAACGTCTTAATCATAAAATTTAAAATATTTTTGGGCCATTCATGGGTTGGTGAGTCTATATCAATCTAGCTTGTTTAATAAACCGGTCAAAAAATCCAACCTGAATCTGACCCATTTATTAGATGGGTCAACATGAATCCAAATTTTTAGGATCAAATTGATAGGTTGGGTCATTTCTTTACACCTCTACAATAGAGAGTGCCCTTACAGATAAGTGAAAGCAATGCAAATAAAATTAAGATGTTGCTAATATCCGTGTAATTGGCAATGTAATGAGGTTATACTATGGGGGTAAGTTAGTCAAATCGACTCTTAAGCCTGCTCGAGTTGGATTCGATAAATGGCTCGTGAGCCTAACTCAATGAGCTGACAATTCAAGCTTGAGCCACCTTTGACTTGACTCGTTAGCTTGTGAGATAGCTCATTTAAAATATATTAATATAAAATGTGATTAAAATTTATTAGCATTCATGATTTTGAGGACAAAGTTGTTAAAGATTTTGAAAAAAATATATCTCACTTTCTTATAATAAATAATTTATTATTAATTTCATTCTAATTTCTCATTCTTTTTATCATTTTATTATACCAATTACTTGACTAATAATCATTTTCTATTTCATTACAAACAAGCCGGTTTGAACTCGGAGAATAAAGCTCAACCTCGAGCTCGAACTTGGTTAATTTATCATGTTCAAGCTAAGGGCATCTCCAACCGAAAACTTCATTTTTCACGGCAAAGTAACGCAAAACTCCAAAATGGCGCGGTGATGCTCCAATCGAACGCCATTTTAGGTGTTTTTGAGAAGGTAACGATCGCCCTCCCTTTCGCGCGTTTTTCCGGTTGAGAGAAAAAAATGGCGTGAGTGACAGTGCGACGCCAATATTGGCGTCGCACTGTTCATCCGCCATCAAATGGCGTAAAAAATGGCGATCGGTTGGAGCAAAACAAGAACGGCAAACAAGTGTTTGCCGTTCGGTTGGAGATGCCCTAAAATAAAGGATAAACTCCAATTCGACTCGACTCATTTTCTACCCTAGTTAGATCATCCCCGGGACAATTCTTCTCGAAAAAGTGAATGTAGTGTAATTAAAGGCAAAGGATGAAGCGACATTTAGACTTCGTTTGGGACGGCTTTCTTATTACTTCTTGAAGCAGTTTTTTAGTATAAATTTTTTTCTTATACTAAAAAGCTGCTTAAAAAATGAATAAAATAGTCGTCCCAAACGAAACTTTAATGATCAGATGGTGCACTGTAACATTTCAACTATTTTGCAATGGATATTAGCAATATATATATATATATATATATTGTAGCAAGTTTGTAATTTATATGAGATGCAAATGAATTTCCATCACAAATCTCTTGCAGTTTTGCATTGTGTTGTGTTGTGCTGTGGCGAAAAATGGTGGCGTATTTGTTTTCCATGGCATGGAAAGGAAATCTGCAATGGAAAGTAAATCGAAACTTTAAACAATACGGTAATAAAAAGGGATTTTTACACACATAACACTTATTTATTCATTTAATATCTAAAGTTGCCTATTTACACACCTACCACTTAAAACCTATTTGACTTTCTAAAATATCATTCCATTTTACTCCGTCAAAACCTCGTCCCATACCACACCATGATGGCTGTTTGA